ACTTTCAGCATGCTCATCTTCTGTGCAGTTTGGGTCACCTTCATACCTGCATATGTCAGCTCACCTGGAAAATACACAGTTGCAGTTGAGATTTTTGCAATTTTGTCTTCAACATTTGGTCTGTTTCTTTGCATTTTTGCTCCTAAGTGCTTCATAATTTTGCTTAAACCTGAGAAAAATACAAGGAAACAGATTATGGGAAAAATACCATCTAAACGATTATGATCTCTTTCTTTTTATGTGTTTGGTACTTACAATTTCTCTAAAATATGTTTTTCTCTTTTCAACACAGCTAGATTAAGAGAAAATGGGTGCTACCACATATGCTTTCATCTGGATTTATGTAGGAATAAAGCTGCAAATACTGTATATCATGACATTAATTGTAACCTATTTTGTAACTGTTTCTGCTGGCCATCTTCTGTTCCTCCTGGCGGTTTTACAAAGTAGTGCCTCCCCAACAACAGAGTTTTTCTAAAAAGCTGTGGTACCCAGCAGCCCAAGGACTGCAAACTACTGCAGTATCCCCTGTGCTTTTTAAATGTCTGGATCTGTATGGTTTTAGTGCTTATTTTTAAATAAACTTTCTATTAAAAGCTTTATATTAGATATCTTGTTTTCAAATACCTTATGTATTGCTTTTTACGGGTAGTACCTAATTTAGGTTTGTTACAGTATGTTTTATCAGGTTAATGTTTACATATTCATTGTGAATTCATGACAGCAGGTTATAAATATTAAAGGGCTTATTTTATGCAATTCATATACTAACACAAGTTTACATTCAAATTGCTGAAACCATAACATTACAACATTTGCAGTTTATCCCTGTTCGCTTTTGATTTTTATGTAAACGGAGCTGTTGCTTTTTTGACTAAAAAGAGAGTACAAAGCAAGATAGATAATAGGAAATCATTTTATTCATTAGGAGCAATGTATTATGTGGCTGTAATCCTGAAGTTAGTTACAACTGACATTCTTTACCTGCTTGAATAAAATCCATTTTCCATAAACTGTTTACATTTTCCATTTCAGGTCACATTCCTAAGAGCATAAGGAAGGCTGTAAAAACTTAACCATCTTTGACTTATCAATAGACTTCATTACAGTTCAGGAAGTACACCCTCAAACAAAATGCAGTTTAATTAGCCCTCTCAGAAGCACATACTCCCTTAAAGGGTGTCAAGTACAGTAAACATCACACACGTTAGCTTCGATTATGTTCAGGGAAAATCCACACCCACCCTGTCTGTACCTGCTCTGAAAGCTGCACTCTCCTCCCAGTCCTGTCTGCTCCCCACCTCCAGCTAGCTCCCACGATCACTGCCTGTCTCCTTCTTGTTTCAGTAGCTCTGTTCGTCTCTACGCGCTGACCTGCTTCGGCTGTCTCCACCTGCCTGTGACCCACAGCTTTCTCCAGAAGCTGTCCGTGTCCGAACAGCCTGGTGATGGGGGCAGCCTGGGCTCACAGCGATCTACTGCCATAGCAACGCGCTGCATTCCCACACAGGACGCCAATCGGCCCAGTCACTGCCAGCCGAGCTCGAGCCAGCCACCCCCTTCCCTCATCGGCCCCCGGTTAGTCGCACAACGCGGATTATTTAAACCTTGTCCGTTTTGCATTCAACGCTCTGACACTGAGTCTGAATACCAGCCCCCAGTGGTTCACTTATTTCTCTAGTTCTATCTTTCTGCCATTCTCAACCT